GTTTGAGCACAGTGATGTGATCGAGAGATTGAAAACAGAGATAAAGACGGCGAGAACAGGAGGATTGTGCACCATTCTTGAGGAATCAGAAACTCCATTAGAAGAGCTTAAACCACTCAAGATTGAACCAAAACCAGATCAGTTCAAAGACAGAATCGCTGAAATTCACAAGGTTTACAAGAACTATGCGATTAAAATGCGAAAACTCGATGTTATCGATTCTCAAACAACGCATTCAATCAGTAAGTAAAAATTAAGTAGACTGTTACATTTTTACTATTTTAGGGATGACATATCTCCAAAGACTTTTAATTCTTGTCTGATTCCAGAACCATCTGATTATATTGTTGAAGAATGTCTCTTTCCTTCTTAAATATTGTCTCAACTACTCAAAATATTGTTGGTGGGGTCGAATGGTAACATTTTGGATTTGAATTTACAGGTTTGTTAAAGCTAAAAGATTCGTCTAAACTAAGCAAAGACACGGTTAGAGCAGCGACTAAATCGCCTCTGCGTCGCAATCTATGGCCATTCAAGAAACATAAGCTCGAAAGCGATCCGACTGAGAGACTAGTGAAAGAAGCGAGCAGAGACTTTGAGACTGTTTACGTAGGCCAAGTTTGTCTCTCATGGGAGATGCTTCGATGGCAATACACCAAAGTCTTGGAGTTTGTTGATTCTCAGGTTGCTTCTATATATCAATACAATTTAGTAGCTGGAGAGTTTCAACTATTCCAAGTTCTGCTTCAACGGTTTGTTGAGAATGAACCATTTCAAAACTTATCTAGAGTTGAGACTTACTTAAAGAACCGTCGCCATTTCCATAATTTCCTTCAGATTCCACTTGTTAGAGGTAAACAACAATACATGTTTTCATTAGTCTCTTCGTTAATTTTTCTGAACCATTTTTGCTGATACTAAAACTCTACAATGTTTTCAGACGATCGTTCTTCGAAGAGTAATAAGAAAGTTAGAAACGAAGGGGCATTCGCGGTGAAGATTGAAACGTTAAGAGAGATTATCCGAGAATCGATGCGTGTTTTCTGGGAGTTTCTTTGCGCGGAGAAAGAAGAGTTTAGTTCAGTGATGAAAATTTCTCACCAAACACAAGTTTCTCCACAAGATCCTCTTGACCTTGAGCTCTTGACAGATATCAGAACACATCTCCAAAAGGTATATAATTCTTCTTTCATTATTTCAGACCACATCAACGGTTTTTGTTCACTCAAGAACCTTTTCTTGGCTTATGTAGAAGGAGAAGAATCTAAAAGAAATACTGAGAAGCCAATGCTGTATAGTGAAGAAGTTAAAGAAGAATGAGTCAAAGAGTAGTGTTGGTTTAGTAAAAGATGAGTTATTAATAGCTCAAATCGAACTGAGATTGGTTTCAAGAGTGATGAATATGTCGAAACTTACGACTGAGAAGTTGATTTGGTGTCAGGAGAAACTCGACCGGGTTAGCTTCAACGGTCGAAGGATTCACATGGAACCATCTTTCTCGTTGTTACCTTGTTAGAGAGAGCCTTCTCTGCCTATAGAATTAGATAATAGATGTTTTGAATGTTATAGCTTCAGATCCAAGGATAACATTTTTGTTGTTGTCCCTGTGAAAGAAATGTAGAGCTAATGGTTTATCCGAATTTTGTACCAGTTAAAGTAAGAAGTTGTATTTTTTGAAGACAAAGAAAATCAGTTTCTTTGAAACTCTTGGAATCATCATAATATTTACTATGCAACCTTGTAACTCTTGGAATCAATGATAAATCTTTCTTTGAAACTTTTCCATAATGGCTACATGTGTTCTTCTCTCTACTTCTCTGTTCTGTTCAGGAAAAAAAAATTTGTTGTCTTTGCTTGTTGGGCCAACAAAAAGAAAAAAAAACCCAGGCAGGGCCTTAATGTAAGCCCAACAAGCCCATATTCTAATTCGACTGACGAATCGCGTCCGTTGATTATTATGTTCTAAGATACGATCTGATCCGTCCGATCTAGGGTAATAAGGTATAGGAAGTGGAAAGGTCCTTTAAATACATCTTCTAGGTTATTTAGCCACTTCTCTGCTCCGTCAAGCTGAGGAGGATAAAAACCCTAAGAGAGAACACGAGGGTGAAGAGAGAGCAAAGAAGCGCAAAATGGTGCAGCGTCTCGTTTACCGTTCGCGTCACAGTTACGCCACTAAATCGAACCAGCACAGGATCGTCAAAACTCCAGGTCTGTTTCTCAATCTACTTCAAATCCAATCGGCTCGAATCAGAATCTGTCTCCGTCGATCTATAGGTTTTTGTAATGTATTCTTCATGTATCTTGATGGGTTTTGTTGCTTGATTGATTTTTGCAGGTGGAAAGTTGACTTATCAGACCACGAAGAAGCGTGCTAGTGGACCCAAATGCCCCGTTACCGGAAAGCGTATTCAGGGTGTAAGTCTTCTGAGTTCATATAACAGTTCTATAATGTGATTTGGGATTTGAGTCTACTTGTGATTAGCACTATTGTTTGATTTTGGATGTGCCCAAAATGATATGATTCTTTGTGTGATTGGTATTGTATTGATCAATCGAAATGTACTTGTTTTGTTTTTGTGGTATTTTGTATCTTTGTGCTTATTGACGGTCTTGTGCTGGTTAGATGAATCAACATCAGTACATAACTTTATCATAAGCTAGATTTAGTGCCGCCTTGTATTTTTAAAGTTTTCTCCTTTTTTGTATGTAAGGAAATCACTGTTTTACTTTGGTGGCATAAATCTTTAATCATCAGAAAATGTTGTTTACATACTTAAACATAAAGACATTCTCTTCCCATTGTTATTACTAGGTGTAGATAAATATACTTCATGTTTGTTGGGAGTTTCTTCTGCATCTAACTCGTGTTTCTTTGCATCTTTAGATTCCTCACTTGAGGCCTGCTGAGTACAAAAGATCTCGACTAACCAGAAACAGGAGGACTGTGAACCGTGCTTATGGTGGGGTTTTGTCTGGTTCTGCTGTTAGGGAAAGGTTAGCTAGCTTTTGAACAGAATTTATTCGTATGCTCGCTTAATTTATGATTCTAATGGTGTGTTCTTGCTCTTGATTCTAATGGTGATACAGAATCATCCGTGCTTTCCTTGTTGAGGAGCAAAAGATTGTGAAGAAGGTTTTGAAGCTTCAAAAGGCAAAGGAAAAGGTAGCTCCCAAGAGCTAAACAACTATTTTAGTTTTAAAATGTTTTATGGCTCTGTTCTAGCTATAGTACTTGGTTGCGCAGAGGTTTGGAGAAACATTGTGTACTCGTCCAAATTCTTAAGCTTTTTGTATTCGTTTTGGATCTTGACTCTGTCGACATTTCGCACATCTTCGGTTTTGATTTCTCGTTTAAAATGTTGAGTTTGCATTTCACTTTTTGACTAATTCACCTCTGAAGTCTGTTGGTTTACGTGGTTAATATATTGTTCGAGTCTTTTGGACTAGAAGTTGACCTAATCGTCTGTTTGGAGTCTAAATCTACAAATTAGCTACTGGTATTAGTCTGATTGGTTCTTGGGCGTTTTAGTGATAATGAACCAAATCGTCTGTTCACTTGTGAAAATTTGGATTGACAAATAATATGTTCAGCTCTTAATCTTGCATTTGCATGTATATGATGTCTATTGGACTTTTTCGAATTTGGGCTTTTTGGACTCAGTTTTGGTTTAGTTGGGCCTTTTGTGGCTTTCTGCTTAGTTTCTCAACTTTTGAGTGAAGTGGCTTTGTATGATCTAGGAAGCATATATAGCTTATGAAGTGATCCTATTTTCTCGGCACATGATCATACAAAGAAAAATAAGAAAACAAAAGTGAACACATTAATTTGAAAGAACAAATTCAAAAAAAGCTGAGGTTCCTATGCTTGTGCTGATACTGGCTATCTAAAAATATCTATCAACATATCAAGAAATGGAGAAAGGAACAGGCAAATCTTCATCAATCGAGGACATCGAGGCACTAGCTAACAGCTTGTGATGCTTCTGATTTTGATGCTGGTCTCCAACAATAGTTTGCAGTTTAGGATAAGTCACCATACCGCAATGTGTGAGAGAGAGCACAATGATGATCTTGATTTGCACCACTCATGTGTCCTTCAGAACCGGTCTCACGGTACTCTTGGGGCAGACTAACAAGATCAGGACACTTCTCTTGTGCCAACATTGCACAAGTGAGGTCGAAGTTTGCGTATATCTGGCTTGCGTATTCTCCCTGAAACGATAAGTCTGATGACGATGACATGTTTAGCAGAAACGACGAGATCATGTCACTGTTGTTGATGAATTTTGGACACTGAGGTGGTTGTGGTTCTTGTGAGGCAAGAAAGAGGCTTCTTAGATAGTGTTGGTCTAGACACGGACCAGGATTGTCTGACGAATTGAAATCTAAGTAAGGAAAAGGACTAGTACTCGTCGTGGTAGCTTCTTCATCATGAAAATACGAATGTGGTTGCGCCACATTCATATATTCTTGGTGAAATTTGTCGCAAGAACTATTTTTGAGGATCTTATCTGAAGAAATTTGAAATGTGTTTGATGGTTTTTGGTAAGGTTTTGTATCGGTGCTTGCTTCTTGCGGCAAAGAAGAAACAGAGGAGTGCGAGATAGCTCTAAGAGCCGTTGTGTTTGTCTTCTTTAATATTCTGCATATAGCCCATGAATCCTGCAAATTATATAAAAATATTCATAACATTAGACCAATTAGTTAAGTAAATAAAAAGTTGACTAGAAAAGAAAAAACATAACTACTATATAAATAAGACTTTTTAAAGTTTTTTTTTTGGTCAACAAATTAAGACTAATTATATAATGGAAAATTACGAAAAATAATATTTGTCAAATGATTTACATTTCGTTTAACAACTCCACAAGAAAAAAGATAACTACATTAAGTAATTCATTGAGTTACGTTTGATTCGACTCCTTAAACATATTTACATATGAACACTCTTGCATTTAAACCTTTAACCTATATGGGGCTTAAGCTATAATTATACCACATAGCTAATATCTAGCTTAACCACTAATTAGTGAAGATATATTCAACTTACGTTGGGAGAGACATGAGTGTCCGAAGAAACAGAAGGCAAGCGAAACTCATGCATCATCCAATCTGTCTTAATCCCTTTAGCAGCTCTTCCTTTGTAAAACACAAGTGACTTCCTCAGACCAATGCATTTGCTTCCGTCGGATGAGTATATCGTCCTGTCCGTTCCCGTGGCTTTCCAAAATCCAGCTCTAGTCACTCGGTTCGGCCTCGTGCTGTTCCTATACTTTCTATCTCTTGGACAGTAGAAGTACCATTCTTTTTCACCCGTCATCGCAAAATCTACATTCATATCAAACGCACATATATATAGATAATATAGTTTCATCGTCACTATGGACGTTTTAAATGACAAAAATACTTGATTTTTCATATGATCGTTGTATTTCAGTTATAAAGAAGTAAAAGAGATTTGTACTTGAAAGGTCCCATGGGTCATATTTGTAGATATCGAGCTGTGTAATGAGCTTGATGGAAAGCGGTCGATGCTCAACCTTCCGCTTAAGATAAAAACTCACGAGCTCTTCGTCCGTTGGATGAAACCTAAATCCAGGCAACAAGAAATCCTCCATTTTCTTATCTCCTTCGTTATTTTCTCCCATAATATTAGTGAATGCTTAGAAAAAGTGTTTGGACACTCTTGTATAACACTATAGAAGCTCTATTAAACCAGCTTAAAGAGATATTAATTAGTTTACAATGAGAAAGTTTTTTACCCTACCTTAAATGGAAAAAAGAGAGAAGTTGGTAAGAGTGAAAGTTTTTTTTGTTTGTTGCTAAAAATAAGAGTGAAAGTTTATTTGCTTAATTTGAACACAATATATGCTACTCTCTGAGGGGTCTGACTCCGAAGGATCAGCCGCCTTTTCTGCTTATTTGGAGAGAGAGTTTTTATTTGAAATCAAAATTCAAAAGTGTAAGTCCATGAATTTAGAAGCATCTCTAGACAAAATTTTATCAGTGTCTTGGGATATTCGTCATATATTTTAACATTTTATTGTTTCGGCTGTGATTTAAGTATTTCTTTATCATTATGTAGTTGCATACTAACCAAAAAACGTTTTGCATATACATTTTTTTTTTCCAGAAGTGAACTAGCTAGGCTGTCTAGTCTAGTGTCACCAGAGTTTTCTCAAACTATCTAAAGATTTTGCTTATAATTTTAATAAATTTTTGCAAAATCATGGATTGAATCGGAGCCGCCAAAAACATGGTAAAAGACCACTATGTTTGTGAGTTGTGACATATGTGCTTATGAATCTACTTTATTTCTATGTATTCTATGTAGTTTGTTGTGCATCATTTATACGTATGTCTTTTTTTGTTTGAATTGTGTAACAAGGAGCCGTAGTGCCGTGCTAAGCTAAAAAGAAAAGAAGCATTGGTCTAGTACATCAATAAATTTAAAGAAAATTAAAAGCATTTTTTTTTAGTTCCATATAATTACAACATGGGTTAGACGTTATCAACATGGGTTAGACGTTAATAGATTACAACATGGTAGATAAACAAAATGAGTCACACTAGAAACATGTGCTTCTTTAACAAATAAAAGATTATACAAAAATTGATATATTGAGTGACTTCTTTATTTTATCGATTGAAAAAGAATTAGTTAACTTTTTTTTTGAAAATTCGGTTAATGATTTTATATAAAAGAAATAAAAATATACATTTTAGCTAAGATTCTGTCTGTTAATTTAGTTTTTTTATTTAGTTTTTGTTATATGACGATGATGCTTATCATATAAGTATGATTTTTTTTTAATTGAAGTTTCTGTTTTTATTCGTTTATGATAACCGCTAACGCTAGCACGGCTTAGAAGACGAACGAAAACATTCACTTTGGAAATCTATTTTACCTCAGATAGATGTGTCTATGTTACCTCGGAATACGTTCAGTTAAATACTTCCACATACAAACAATTCTGAATTAATTACTTATCACTTCTAGTAATTATGTACAAAGAAACTCTTACAAAGCAAGCATTTTAAAACCATGTTCCAAAGCAAAAGTCAAATTTGCTCTGTCTTTTTGTGGGGTTTGGCAAAATATCGAATACCAAAGTATAGAATTTCTCAATTGTTTCTTGCTTTTAGTAAAATCTTGTTGAAGTTCACAGTTTTTTCTTTTGAATTTTTTTTCTTAGGTTGATAAATAATAGATTTGTTTTGTCTAGTAAAAGGAAAGAATAACACAAATCCATATTAAATTGTAGT